ATGCGGAAGTATGAAGGCAACCGAGCACAAGCAATCACCAGGGTTCCACTCAGCTGCTACTTTGCTTTCCTCCTCCTGGACCCTCTCCTACCTGTGCCGGCTTCCAGGAATCCGGCCCGGGCATATTTAGGACTGTGGACCGCTGGGGAAAAACTGCTAACGTATTTGATACAGCCTGACCCTACAGGCAGCGACTCAGGCTGCCTGGTGCTCTTTGTATTACAAAAAGCTGACCCAGCATCCACCCGCATCAGCTGGATTGGCTCAGCTTTGACTGGCTCAGCAAACAGGACTGACCGGCATCACTGGGAGGGAGAGAAAAGCGGATTGCCTTGATGTCCCATTTTCCTTCTTTCTTTCTTTCTTTATTTAAATTTCGTTTCATGACATGGTTTCATAGGCTCTGGAATTCCCCCAACCCCTCTCCGTGCCCTCCCCCCATGTTGGAGGACCACACTGTTGCAGTAGTACAGTTCATATCCCGTCATGATTCCTTCATTGCAAGCATGTACCAAGCACAGACTCCAGCCTCTTATTATCCAGACAGTTTCAACAGTTTCCTTGAAGGACCATCCCTGGTCTGAAAGCAGAGCTGGCAGAATATCATCCCCTCCAATGAAAAGCCACAAGATAACCTCAACAACAATTTACAACATTATGGAGTTAATTGACACGGTTTTGAGTGACCAATATGTTAGAAAGTGCAAGTTCTTAACCACATCCTGTGACTACTTCATTGACATTTCAATTTTAGTTTATACACAACCGGCTGCTATACACCTTAAAATGGCTATAGGGTACTATTCAGCTGTCTCAAGTCCATTTTTATTTTTATATTTAGCAGCTTATAGTATTGAAGCATGATTTAACTGAACTTGATGCCCCATTTTCAAAAAGTAAAGAAACTTCTGTGGAATCAAAATTCACCAGCAAACATTGCCTTTTGCCCAACAGCCCACGGACGGGGATGGTGGTGCTTGTGGGGTAAACTGCCGAAAGGGGGAAGACTTTGCAGCTTGCCACTGGAACTTCCACGCAGGTCACGAGCTTCTGCCACCAATTCCTGCCCATCACCTCCCATTTTGTTCCCCCTACACACACACACACACACACACACACACACACACACACTCCTGCTGCAAGTGCCACCTCCCTCCCCCAAAGGGGACCGCTGTAAAGCCAATCTGTACTTTAGCTACGTTAGTATGTGTAAGTTTTTGGAAACTCTGGTAACGATACATTTACCAACAGGAGATAAACAAAACCTGAATATCCTCAGATAACAAGTATGCATTCCCAGTATCATCTAAATCTTTTTTTTTAAGTCCTTTCATCAAATGATGATGTAACCAAGGCCTGCATATTATTAATTGCCCCTCCTACTGTAAATTCCTGTGATCATACAGCCCTCCATCTTACCGGCAACTGGGAGTAACTCTAATAAATGCCAATGTGGGGAGTAGCGACCACCAACAAACGTCTGGCTTCCGGTCTTGCCAAATATGAGTGAGCGTTTGTACGTAAATTTGTAAACACGGAGCACACGCGGAGCCATTTCCACTGCAGCAAGGAATCCTGCTAGCCAAACCAGCATTCTCGTATTGCCCGCGACGGGATCTCAACTCACCCTGCACTAGATTCAACAGCACCCAACGTGGGGCCGAGTGGGCGCGTTCCCCCGCGGCTGGCCCTTCCCTCCGGGGCGAGGGTCGCCGCGGTGGCGTGCGGGGGGCCGGTCCAGCCACTACCGTCCGAGGCCACCGGGAGGGATGGGAAAAGGAATTTCAGCTGGTGGGCTCCCGAGGGCGGGCCCAGCTGGCTCTGGAGGGAATTTTGAGCCAGCCGTTCTGGTCAGCGAGAACTCAGCCAGGTCGTCACGGCCGCTGAGAACAAGCAGCCCTGAAAAACCCAGCAGCTTAATCCCCGCGCCGGCGGGCGAGTGGACGCGCGCGGAGACGCTGTCCCCCAACGCCCAGGCCGTAAGAGGGGACACGACATCCCGGCAACCCACGTGAGTGTGTGTACGTTGACCGCGCGCACGCACGACAGCGGAGGTTCCAAACCATCACCCCGGGAGCCGCCGATGCGCGCATCCTGATGGGGGTACAGGCCCACCCCCGGATCCCTGCCCCCGAGCCCGCCACAGATCCCGCTCCTGGGACTGTGCGGTAATTCCCAGGAAGCTCCTTTAAGGAGCGGAGAAAGCCCGGCCCTTCAGTTCCTGTAAGGAAACTGCTCTCCTGCCGACAGCCCGCAGCGCCCCGCGGGGGACCCGAGCAGCCGCGGCCGCGCTCTTACCCGAGGTCAGCGTCCGGGTCGAGGGCGACCCTGCACACCCGCGATGCTGTCGCCGCCCGGGCACCTGCCGCGTCCGGCCCCAGGTGCCGAGCCCAGGCGGGGCGGGATCCCGCGCGCAGCCCGCCTCCGCCCCGCCGGCGGCGAGCAGGAAATGCGGGCGTCTCCGCCCCGCAGCCGCCTCGGCGCACGCCCCGTCGCGCTCCGCAGAAACACTAAGAATTAGGTGGACCAGGGGGTCTCCCCACGCAGGGGGGCTTCCCGAGGCTCCTTGGGCCTGGACGTCTTCGGGCAGGAAGGACGGGCAGGGAGCCTTGCGGGCACAACTTGTCTTCAGGGTGAATGCAACGGCCTGCAGTGCCTGTTCCCTGTCGAACCGCACGCTCGCGTTGCAACGGTGTTAATTGGTTGTAGTAATTAATTGAGAACCTCAAGAGATCTAAGTGTGGAGCTGCTGGGGGTGGCCTTGAGAAGGGCAGCTTCCCTAAGCCCGGGAGGTCAGACTGGACTTCCTGGAGGACTGCAGGGTCCTGAGGTGCCTCGCAGAGAAGCATCTCAAAGCAAAGGTTGTGCTGTACAAGACCTTGCAGGGGCAGTCAGGTGAGACGCGCCTGGCCAGCGATGCGGAAGTGAGAGCTGCCACATGGCGTGATTGTGACCCATGAGCTACTGTAGCATGAAGTGGCCCAGAGCTGTGGGGTGGTTTTTGATTTTGATGCTCACCACTGCTTTCTGTCTTCCACTATTTCCTCTCCCCTGGGAGGCTGCTAACTCCTATGGGTCTTTTGCATTTAACTCCAAAAAAGAAAACCCTCCAGAACACAGCCTAACCACGCCCCCGTAATACAGGGTGTTTGAGTGCACAGAGGGTGCATTTGCATGTATATAACAACCTCCACATCTGACTTCCAGGAAGTTGGCAAAGTAGAGTCTGTGTTGTAAAACTGTTATCACAAAGACCTGAGACACAGCGCTTGGCATATTGTGACTGATTAACAAATCATCATAGAGATAATTTCTTATCTACCTGCTGGCAGGCTCCAGGGGATTCCATAGCCAACCAGCAGGGCCTGTGGCACACACTCCTTTCCAGCTTTCATCCTTTATACAAATCTTTAACACTAACTCAGTATTTCATTAAAAGTTAATTGTCTAGGGCCTGGCTCGATAGCCTAGTGGCAAAAGTCCTCACCTTACATGCCCAGAATCCCACAGGGACGCTGGTGTATGTCTAGACAGCCCCACTTCCATCCAACTCCCTGCTTGTGGCCTAGGAAGGCAGCCGAGGCTGGCCCAAAGTCTTGGGACTCTAGACCCACATGGGAGACCTGGAAGAAGCTCCTGGCTCCTTCCTTCAGATAGGCTCAACTGCAGCTGTTTTGGCTACTTAGGGAATGAATCAGTGGACAGAAGATCTTCCTCTCTGTCCCCTCCTCTCTGTATAGCTGACATTCCAATAAAAATAGATAAATCAAAAGGAAAGAAATGCTAAGATTATTTGTCTAGCACCTTGGTTTGTGTTTGTTTTTTGTGGATTACTTTGCTCTGCTAGAATTTTATAACAGCAGAAGCACAGAAGTACATGTTTATTGTGATAACTCACGAGGTGTTCGCGGTGTGTTAGTTTAACGGCTAGGGGCATATATTTCTGTTTAAATTAGAACTCCTTCTGGTTCACATAAGCTCTAATGTTGTCAGTGCTTCGAGCTTTGTAGTCTAAATCACCTGGATTTTTAAAGCTTATTTTTATTTAAAAAGCAGATTTTATATATAGAGAGAGATTCTTTCTATTTACTGGTTCACTCCCCAAAACATAGCAATGGCCAGAGCTGCTTATTAAAAATTTTAGTTTTTTTTTTTTTTTTACTTCTTTTAAAAATTATCATCGGGCCTGGCACCTGGTGCAATGGCATATTGGTTGAGGACCTTGCCTTAGGCACGCCCAGGATCCCATATGGTTGCAGGTTAGTATCCCGGCAGCCCCGCTTCCCATCCAGCTCCCTGCCTGTGGCCTGGGAAAGCAGTCGAGGACGGCCAAAGGCCTTGGGACCCTGCGCCCACGTGGGAGACCTGGAGGAAGCTCCTGGTTTCGGATTGGCTCAACTCCAACCGTTGAGGTCACTTGGGGAGTGAACCATCGGATGGAGGATCTTTCTCTCTGTCTCTCCTCCTCTCTGTATATCTGCCTTTCTAATAAAAATAAATAAATAAATCTTAAAATAAATTATTATTATCATTTATGATACAGTTACACGGGCACTGGGATTTTCCTTCTCCCCTCCCCAAACCCTTTCCAACTGAGTTCCCCTGTATTATTACATTAGTATAGTTCTTCATACAGAGTCATAGGTCCATCATTGTGGCAATGGACAATGGCAGACAGCACTGTATTGTCAAGATTTAGTTAACAATTTCATTGGGAGTCCATCTTTGTCTGGAAGTAGAGATGCATACTGCATTGTATCCTCACATCTGGATGTGATAGTCTCCATTACACAGTTACTACATATACCCTGAAATGAAAAGCCACAAAACAAAACCAACTAAAGGAAGAAAAATAGAAACTTACAATGCCATTAAGTTAAATAACATGCTGCTAGATATGATAGTCTCATTACACAGTTACTGTATGTCCCTTAGATGAAAAGCCACAAAACAAAATCAACAACAGGAAGAAAAAAAAGAAATTAACATTGTGAAGTTAAGTAACATGCTAATGAATGACTAATGTGTAACTGAAGAAATGTAAAAGACAATCAAGAACGATCTTTAACAAAATGATGCAACTGTATGATATATGAGTCAGTGCAGAATTTGATGAGACTTCTGTTTTGAGAGTGTTTTGAGAGATGAAACTAAAAAAAAATCAAAATCCATGAGATATAGTTTCCACTGATCTTTGTTGATAAGATGTGTCTCCTGTAGGCAACATATGGGTGTTATTTTTTTAATCCAGTCTATTAATCTATGGCATTTGATTGAGGAGTTTAAGCTATTTACATTCAGGGTTAATCTGAATGGGTGGTACTTTGGTCCTGTCATTTGAGGAATGGGTTGTTCATTGGTTTAGTCTTCTGTTGTCATTTTACTGGGATGTTCTTCCCGTTTGCCTTTGGTTTTGGTAGGTGCTATTCCTTTTCTCAAGAGAACAACTTTAAGTATCATTTGTAGGGCAGGTTTGGAAGAGCAGAATTCTTTTAACTTTTCTTTACTGTGGAAGAATTTTATTTCATTTTCAAAGACAAATGAGAGCTTTGCTGAATGTTTTTCTGGGCCGACCATTTTTTTCTTTTAGAATCTGGAATATGTCACTCCATTCTCTTCTTGCCTGTCGAGTTTCCTGTGAGAGATCTCCTGTGAGTTTAATTAACATTCCTTTATATGTCAATTGATGTTTTTCACATGCACATTTAAGGATCTTTTCCTTATGTTCGATTGAAGAGAGCTTGATTTATCATGTGTCATGGTGAAGCTTGCTTTTGGTTAACGGTGTTGGGAGTTCTATGCCCCTCCTGGATGTTGTTTCTTAATTCTTTCTCTAGATTCGGGAAATTTTCTCTTTTTATTTCATTAAATACATTTGTAAAACCAGCTTCTCATTCAGATCCTTCTGGGACTCCTATAACTCTTGTATTTGGCCTTTTAATAGTGTCTTCCAATTCTTGAATACTTCTTTTTAGCCTGACCTAGCTCTGCTTCCAAGTTTTTGTTTGTTTCCTCCTGGTGACAGGAAATATCTTCCAATTCTGAGATTCTTTCTTCTACTTTCTTCATTCTGTTTTGCAGACTCTCCACTATACTTTTAGTTTGCTTCACTGTATTGTTAATTTCTGATATATCAATTTTCATTTTATTCATTTCCTGTATGACATATTCCTTAAATTCCTTGAATGTCTGCTTTATGTGTTTCTCATTGTTGATAAGAAGCTTTATAACAATTGTTTTGAAATCTGTCTTCCCCATTTTCACAATGTCTTCATCAGTTGATTCTGAGTTTGGAAAAGGCCTTTGCTCCTTTGCAGAGGAATCTTCAGTAATATACATTGTGCCTTTATCTCTTCTTTTGCTCTTGGTCATTGTACTTCTGGTTAGCAGAGTCTTGTCCTTGGGGCAGGTTTCTAAGCTGTATCACCCACAGGTCTACAATTAGGTTTCACTCTTATTGTGGTTGGTATACAGCTGTTTTTTGCAGTCACTTGTGGCACTCCCTCCAGCGAGTTCCAGGTCTGGGTTCTTTTTTTTTTTTTTAAGATTTATTTTATTTTTATTGGAAAGTCAGATATACAGAGAGGAGAGATAGAGAGGAAGATCTTCCATCTGATGATTCACTCCCCAAGTGAGTGCAATGGCCGATGCTATGCCGATCCGAAGCCAGGAGGGTCCCAAAGCTTTGGGCCGTCCTCAACTGCTTCCCAGGCCACAGGCAGGGAGCTGGAAGGGAAGCGGGGCCGTCGGGATTAGAACCGGTGCCCATATGGGATCCTGGGCATGCAAGGTGAGGATCTTAACCACTGTGCCACCGCGCTGGGCCCGAGGTCTGGGTTCTTATGTTAGACTTCCACCATGGTCTCCACAGCCTAGCTCATGGCTCACCAGTTTCCACCTCCTGTGATACTGTGTTGAGGCTGTACAACCTTTCTCCCACTTCTGGTTGAGCAGTTCCCAGGATTAGGAAGACAGCAGGAATCCTATACAACTTGCTTGTTGTTGGTGCTGATCTTGCTGGAACCTGTTGGCCGTTCGGTCTGAGCACCACACAAACCTATTTTGACCGACACAATGCCATAGTAAGTATCATTTTCCCTGTGGGACCAGTGCAATGCACTGAGCTTAATGAATTTGCTCCCAGCTCAGCACAGTTTACTGTTGTCCCAGCAGCCTTAAAGTCTTTGCCATACCATACAAAATGGTGCCTGATATGCTACTACTAGAGTTCTTGATCTGCTGGCCGGAAGGTCTGAGAGCTCCCCAAACCTATCTTAGGTAGAACCTGTAGGATGCCATGTGTTGCAGTTCACTGAGCCAGAAATGAGTTCACTCCCAACTCACTGCATATGTAGTACTGTCCCATAGCCTTTGCCTCACTATACAAAATGGTGCCGATTCGGCTCTAGGGGGCAGACTGGACTGTGAAATCACTGCCTGTGATGCCAGCATTCCTAATGGGAACTTGCTGCACAAGTGCATGTCCAGCTCCCTTTGAGTGCGTATGGGAAAACAGAAAAGATGGCTCAAATGCTTGCAGTCCCTGCATCAATGTGAGAGAACCAGATTGAAGTACCTGGCTTCATCCTGGCCCAGTCTTGTGTGTTGCTGCCATTTGGAGAGTGAAGCAGCAATTGGAAGATCTCTCTGTCTTATTCCCTATTTATAACTCTGCATTTCAAATATACAAATCCTTTGGGGAGAAAATGTGAGTCAGATCTTACCTCTGTTTAGAATCTATAGTGGCTTGCCATTTGTTCTGAGTAAAAACTGAAGTTCTTAAAACTGCATTCTCTGCCCCCACCTCTCTCCATTCTAAGCTATGCACTCTTTGCTCCAGCATCCCAGTTTCCTGCCTCCTGGCCTTTGTACTTGTTGTTGTTTTCACTTGGGGCGGGGGTGCTTCTCCTTAAACACCACATGGCTTACTCTGTCACTTCCTTCAGGTCCGTAAATCTGAGTCTTCCCTAACCACTAATTAAATTACCAAATGACCAGTACCTCCTGTTCCCCTCTGTTCTCCTCCTTGCTCTCTCTTTGCCCCCAACAGGCTTCACCTTTTAACACATAAATGTTATTTGTTATTATTATTCCTGTCTCTTCTCCACCCCTCCACCCCAGGATATAGGCTCCAAGATGGAAGGAATTGTTGCCTGCATCACCCAGTGCAGTTATATGTAAAGTAACTATTTGGTGAAGTTTTGTTTAAATTTGTAAGCTAAGCTTCCAGACAGAATTTCTGAATCACAGAGATTTTTACTTAGAATTTTACCATTTACTAAATGGTAAATTTAAATTTAAATTTAAATTCTAAGTAAAATTTTTACTTAGAATTTTACCATTTACCATTACTAAATTGCCCTTCCAAAAGATTGGGACAGATTCTTACCAATTTTGCACATGTGTTTGGGTTCCCCAAACACTTAAACTCTTTGACCACATATATACTCAATTTTGTGTGACTGGTTTGTCAATCACAATTGTAAGAAAACAACAGAACCCACTCTGGCTAACTTAGATAGCTAATATTTCTGAGTGGAAGATCACAGACTCCATAGGGAGCCTGGAAACCAAGTTCGTGTCTGCAGCAAGGGCAATGCTAAGCCACAGGCTGGCAGCTGCTCCAGGAACGATGCCCACTGTTGGCTCTAGGCCCAACCGTGGAGCTCACGTTTAGGCATCTGATGGATTGTGGGCATACTGTTCTGAAGTTGTAGGTCTTGCTGTTGTGTCCCTTGGTTTGAATGTTACCTGGAGCCAGTACTCACTAACAGTTCCATGCTCCAATCCTTTACTTTGGACTGTCTCTAGATTATTCACATTTTGAAGTAACTTTTCCAAGAAGGATTAATGGGAGCTGCACACTATGAGTTCCTTATCTCCTTCTATCCATCTGTATATCTTTCTGGTTATTCTATAGTGGAGACAATCATGGTCTTCTCTTTACCTCTGCTGTCTATATTTGTTGCAAGCCTGTCTTTCAAATCACTGTTTCATTTTTCTGAAATATCTGTACCCCTTTGCCATTTCTATCATAACTTTCATCTCCAAGCTGGTTTCAATATTATTATTATTATTATTTTAAAGATTTATTTATTTATTGGAAAGTCAGATATACAGAGAGGAGGAGAGACAGAGAGGAAGATCTTCTGGTCCGATGATTCACTCCCCAAGTGAGTGCAATGGCCGATGCTATGCCGATCCAAAGCCAGGATCCAGGAACTTCTTCTGGGTGTCCCACACGGGTGCAGGATCCCAAAGCTTTGGGCCGTCCTCGACTACTTTCCCAGGCCACAAGCAGGGAGCTGGATGGGAAGTGGAGCTGCCAGGATTAGAACCGGCGCCCATATGGGATCCCAACGCGTTCAAGGCAAGGACTTTAGCCGCTAGGCCACGGTGCCGGGCCCTGGTTTCAATATTATTAACAGTTTTCCTGACTGGTGTCAGTGTACTTCATCTTGCTCTCTGGTCTCTCATTTCTCCTTCTGAAGCTCTTTTGCAAACAATCTGTATGGTCTTTTTCTTTGAAGGTGAAACATGTTCCTTAAATATCTTCCATATCTGTCACTTTGTAAGTTGTATTATGCACGTGAAATGAGTTGCATCCTTTCGGCATGGAAAATACTCAGTTCTATACATAATTGTGTCTAATTCCCTGGTTCACAAAATTGGAAGAGGCCCAGTGGAGTGAGCTGGAGCGGGGCTTTAAAATGAAAATGTTGCCTTCAAACCACCTAGGTTGTCATTTTTCTTGATGCCACAACTTCCCTTTAGAAAGCAAGTTGCCCAAGCAGGAGGCCATTGTGGGCAATAGTGAAGTGCTTACATAATAGATGTGTGGTGTCTTTGCATTTAACTTTGCTTAATGGACTCTGGTCACCGCCTGCATAGCCTATTTGGGTTTCTTGTTTCTGCTCTCCTTCCCTCCCAATCAACTTCATGAAGGAAACTAAAAGGACTTTTCAACTCAGCTGTGTTATCAGCCCCGCCTTCCTGGCTCTTGGGCCCGCTTTCCTTTTGGTCTTGATTTGGGGTTAGTTTTGTTTCTGTCTTTACTAGTTAATACAGGAGGAAAATATGGATCAGTCATGGTTCTGAATGCATGGTCTTAATTTTTCCCCAAGTTTTGTGAGACCCCCCGTTTTAAAAATTTCTTTTAAATTTAATTTACTTATTTTAATTGTATAAATGTTGTTTTTGATAATTCTTACATACTTGATTAGGGTGCGAAGGGTCAAGGGCTACAGGGGAGTGGATGGAACCATTGTTTTGATATTTACTTTTTTCCTTCCTGTATTTGGGAGGAGGAGAAAAAAGAGAAGCCACACCCAGTCTGCTAGCCATGCCAGGGTCCCCTATGTGGGGCATGCTCTGAGGGTCCTGCTCAGGTGCTTTTGATAGTTCAACAGTTCTATATTGCTGCCAATCTTGCCACTCCAATCACAATGGAATCTCTCCAGACTCCACTGGCTGACATAATCCACCTTAGAGTTCGCCCAGATTTTCACTGCCAACACTTGGCTGGGGTAGATGATTAATTTGTTCTGTCCTCCGTCCTGTTATGGTACCACGTGTCCTCTCCAAACCCCAATCTACTGCCATATCCTCCATGTGCATCTGGATATGCTATCCACTACTCTAAGGCACTGAGGAGGCTGACACATGCATTCCACGGTCAGTCCATGAAACCTGCAATTTCCTCCATGGTTGAAGTTCTGAATCCAGTGGTTCAATTGGGGGGGCGGCGCCCAAAGACACTTAATCAGAGGTGATCCCAGACCTGATTCTTGTGTGTGCATGCCAGCACACGGTCCAACACAGTGTGTTGCCCAAATCGGTCTATGTGCATGCACACTGCTAGCAACAATTGCTAGGTCAGTTGCCTCCAGCCCTATCTTCTATGCAAACTAATGAGCGTTGCAGTCCAGCCTTATTCTACTCACTGTACATTCGGCCCCCAACGCAAACCAGTGGGAGTGGAAGCCTGGTCAGAGCGACCTGCAATAATCCCTACCAGGCCTGCTTCCTGCTCTGGTTCCCATGTTTGCCAGTATGTACAGCAGATTGGTTCTGTCTGTCTCACATCCCATTCAGCTCTTATACATGTTGATGAGCATTGAAGCCTACTTCAACCCAACCAGCCCCACTATCCAGCCCACAGACACGTGCTAGTGGGTGCCACTCTCTGTCTAGCCATGCCTGTGCCAGTCCTGGTTCTCATGCTCACTAGTCAGAGTAGCAACCCAAGAGGGAGGTGCCCACTGTTTCCTTACTATGCCCATTCCCACTCCCAGATCTTGCACTCTCCAGGTGGTACTACAGTTTAGCTCAACAGAATTTTCCCCCCTGTGTCAGCATCTGCTAACTAATGCTATGGCAAAGTCCAACCTACACTCACACCATCTGGCTTATGCACATACCAGTAGGTACAGTCCACCCAGCATGGCTTATGCCAGATCTAGCTTGCATGCAGGCCAACAGGTATTGTAGCCCTGCCCAGCCTGGTCTGCTCCCAACCCCAGCTCTCATGCTCAAAAGTGGGAATGGTGGCCCAGCAGAGGATCTCTTTGCAGGCTCCCTACTGGGCTCTCCCACTCTCCCCCAGGTCTCACATGGCCCGCCTCATCTCGACATTTGCCAGTGGGTCCTGTAGTCTGTCTGGGCCCAGCCCACTCCCAGTTCCAGCTCATGCTGGTGGGGACTTCAGCCAGCCAGCATAGCCAGTCCCAAGTCCTGGCCCTAATGTTAACTGGAAGGCATTGCAGCCCAACCTGGTATGAGCCACACACCATTCTGGCTCAGATTTGCTAGTGGATGATATGAACTATTCCAGTCTGGCTTGCTCCCAGACCTAAGCTAAAGGCAAGCCCATAGGTACCGTTCCCTGGGCTGGTCTGGGCTGCTCCTTTGTTCTTACACTCACTTGGAGGGACTGAATCATGACAGACGAGTTGCCAAGCTCCTCCATCAGAACCTCTCCCAGTGTGTTATGGGATAAGGAGTTGATTAGCACTTGTTAAGCTGAGCAGTAACAGGAAATGGGCTTGCAGCTAAAAGCACCTGGACTAACGGGATTCATTGACATCCTATTTGGTTAAAGGGCTTGGGGGAAAGAGTATATAAGGAGTAATAAAGGGAGGCTTCAGGGAGACTTTCACCATCACTGGTCTCCTGTTGGTCCTTCATTCCCAGACCCTCTCCGGGTCCACGCTACTGGCTCTGCTGGCCAGAGCACCAGTGGGAGATCCTGCACACATGGCTAGGTCCATGACCAGCCAACTTAGTCCACCTCCTGTCCTAGCAGGAACAATGGCTTCTCCTGACTAGCCCTCACCCATTCCAATTCTTACTGTTGGGTGCTACTGTTCAGCCAAGCCTGGTCCATACCCAGATACAGCTCATGCATGGCTCAGCAGAGACAGAGACCTAGCCCAGTCCATCTTACCCATCCTGGTTCTGATGAGTTCCAATGGGTACTAGAGTGTAGCCCAGTCTTGCATGCACCAGACCCACTTCACACCTGTGCTGAGGGAGACTGCATGTCCTGACCAGAACGCAGTCTCCTCTCTGGCCCCCATGCTCACCAGTGGGAACCACAACCTAGCCATGGCATTCCCTTAGCTCTCCAAACAGGCCTGATCCCAGCCACAGATCTCACGTGTGCCACTGGTTGCTCTGTCCCAGCTTGGCATAACCCCTTTTCCTGTCTTGGCCTTTGCCTTCAGATGCTGCAGCCTGGCCTGGCCCAGCTGGCCCCAAGTCCCAACTCTCACTGGAGGATGCTGGAACCTGGTCCTGATCAGTCAGCTCTCATCCCTGGCTCATGCAAACCAGTAGGTGTGGCAGCCTAGGCCCAGCATGACCTGCACTCCATCCTGGTTTCTCAACTTGGCCAGTATGCTGTGGTTTGCTTGGCCCCGCCCTGCCTGGTCTGCCCCGCTTCTAAATCCAACTTACACACTTGCTGATGGATGGAGCTACCCTGCCCAGCCTGCCCAACACCCAGGCCTGGACCATGTGCTCATCAGTGGGAGCTATGACCCAACAGGGGAGTTTCCCATGTTCCCTCGCTCAGGCCACTTCCAGACCCAGATCTCACACATGCCAGCCAGTGCTTGGTCCTTATGCAACATGGCCTGCCCCATCTGTCCCAGCTTTTGTATGAGCTGGTGTGGCCCAGACTACCCCACACCCTGTTATATTCCACACCATGTGAGTGCAGCAGCCTGGACTTGCTCACTTATTCCCAGCTACAGTACTATGAGCATCAGTGAGTTCCATTGTCACTTCTAGATCAGTCCATCAAAATCCCAACTTTCAAGCTAACCAGTGGGTTGGGCCAACATATCACCCACAGAATTCAATCCTGGATATGGTTCTTTTGTGTCTTTGTTGGTCATGACCCAGTCTAATGTGACCCATCCCCTGATCTGATACTCATTGTCGGGTACTGGTATCTAGCCCTGCTAGAGAGGCCCCAGTTTTAGCTTGCGTGTGTGCTGGTGTGTGGTAGTCAATACTGTTTCATGCTAACAAGCCCAACTCAGGACTTCCATGTTTGCTGGTGTATCAGTCTGACTAATAAAAATCTTCAGGTCTCTCTCCTCCAAACCACCAGGTCTCAGTCCCCTCGCTTACCTGCAAGTTGTGGCCCTGTGGTTGGGTGTCCCTCGGGATTCATTCTGGACCTACGTGTACAGTGGCTTTATCAATGGATGTCCTGAGGCAGTATTTTCATGCCCTTAAACCCCTAGAGCTCGTCACTGGGTGGCCAGAGGGCAGAGCCTGGTGCCAGTTGGCACTCTAGCTGCCCACAAGCGCAAAACCCTCCCCCTGTGTAGCAGCAGTGGATGGGGAGCTAGGATCCCCAGCAGGAAGCCTGGGGTGGCTGTGGCTGGGTACCCCCAGCCACAGCCATGTTACCAGTACCACTGCTCAGACTTACCTGGACTCCGCCCACCAAGTAAGTAAAGTACTTCTCAGGTTCTGTTAACATGCTTGCCACTGCTGTAGCTTTATATATGATCTGGAGAAACACATTTTCCCAAAGACTTGGACCATTCGCCTGTGTTTTGGAAGTTTTGGAGTTTTTAACATTTTCTTTGTTTGCACCAGGACTCATTTAAAAACTCTTCATTATTGTGGTTATTCTTTTGTCCACTTCAGTGCATTTCTTAGAAATGCCCTGTGCATATAATGTATGTCAACTTTTTCAAATGTCTTTACTGGCATTATCTTCAGATAAATTGCAAAGCAGCCGTCACTGGCCTGATCGAGTGTGCTCAATGGGTATTCTATCCAGTATGGGTACTACTGGACAGTTACTAGTTACATATGGCTGTTAACCTCTTAAATATTGCTAGTGCAAATTGAGATGTGCTGGATTTGTAAAATGCACACTTCATTTCACAGGCTTAGCACAAAAGTAAGAATGTAAAGTAATAATTTACATTGTCGTTATGTTGTGATATTTTGATTTACTATGCTAGGTTAAAATGCACAATTAAAATTAGTTTTCCCTATTTTTTTCATTTCATTT